TGTTCTCTGCTGTTATTGTTACACATTAGTTTTAACTTGTAATTTTGCCACAATAAGAATTAAAATGAAACAAAGACCAACTATACAGTCTTTGAAGAAAAGAGGGGAGGAGTGATGGTCCAAATTCTGCTCTTCCTCATATTAAAGCACATTTTAAGATTCAATATTCCAAAGTACAAAAAGAAAGTGAAAAAAATGAAGAGCTGTAATTTTGTGTTGCATATATTAAAGGTTTATTTTATGTTTTCTTTCATATTCATATTTTTCTGGCTGAATTTAAAATAGAGTCGATGGATTTTGCAGTAAAACATATTTACATTATTGCCTCTTCTGCTCAAGTAAATGTTACATTCTGCCTTATTTACTCTACTGGTGTTTATTGGAGTGCTTTTTGTATTGATCTGAGCTTTTATCTTCATCATTTATCCTGTTTGTATCATGTTTGTCAAGCTGGATGCCTTCTCCCTTACTGCAAGCCGAATCTACCTTTGAGTACAAATAAAGTAACTTTCACTGTTAAGGATAAACAGACTTGCAAACAAGAACATAAACTTTGCACAGCTGGTCTGGCACGGTTGCGCCAAATTACGCACGAAGTCAAACCTTCAGATTTAGTTCAGGTTGGTTTAAATCATCTACAGACAGTCAGCTGGTGGTCGACACTTTAACTTCAGCAGAGCTTTCCACTGATAGAAAACCGAGAAGTTTTGTTCACCCACCTCAGCAGAGTGTCCGGAAGCAGAGTTTTGGCGTAATTCACTCCCGACTGGATGGACAGCGGCGCCATTGCGATGCCAATCAATCAATCAGGATCAATAATAGTCCCGTTTAGTTGCAGCGGGTGTGATTGAAGGTGCAGGGACTCTGATCAGCTGTGAGCAACAATTTATTAACAACGGCGACCTGTGATTGGCTGCTGATCAACAGGCCGAGGACCAATAGGACGGAGAGCTGCCTCAAACTGTCTGATCGATAAATGAACAGGAAACTGATCGAATATTAACTCAAAGTGTTTGTTTGCAGTTTTTGTTTACATTTTAATACATTTTAATACAACATAAAACACACAAAGTACATATAATATACAGCTCAATATAAATGATAAATATATTTATCTTATATACATTGCATACAAGACATTCAGGTCGAAAAGACACATAAAAACATTTAAATAATATGACAGCAGTTAAAATGTTTATTATTGTGTAGAATGAAACAAACATGATAATGTGATAAAAACTCAAATGACAGTTTAACCTCATTATTAAGTTGATATTCACTATGATTATTAAATGAATATCAGAAACTGTCTGTCTGCTATTTAAGAGTGAACTGAATCATTTTTAATCCAGAGCAACAGCTAAATAACACAGGATTAACAGATGTGTAAATGTTTTAATGTTCAAATGTCTTTAACAGTACACACATTATGAGTTGTTCTTTACATAATGCATAAATAGAAGTGTATTTCCCTCTTCAGTGTTTCATAAATCACCTCTCTCTCCGCTCCACTGTTGTGTTTTGGGTCCAGGATGAAGAATAAACCTTTAAACTGACTCTGGTCCAGATATTAAAGAAGCTTACAGAGCTGGTGTTCTTTTGTTTCAGACTAAATGAGATTAGGAGAACATTTTAATGTGATGAGGACATAATAATCAAGCCTTTATTTGTAGGAAATGAACTAACGCACAAGTAAAGGTCATTGTTTAATCCTTACACACACACACACACACACAGGAACAGTGTCTCTCTGCTCACAGTCTAAACACACCCAGCACTTGTCTGAATGGACATTTATCCATCTTAAAGCATTAATGATGTGGGCAGCTTATGGGTCAGCAGGGCCGCCATGTTTTTAATTAGGGAACTTTATACACGTGAGTATATATTAAGGTTAAATTAAAGCGGCTGAGATTATGACAATGTTTTTCAAAAACAGAATGAAAGAAGAGTTTTAATTTGTAGTTTAGCTTTAGTAGGTGTCATATTTTGCTACAATAAGAAATAAAATCATACATAAAGTCTTTAAAGAAAAGGGGGAAGTGTGCTTCATACTAATGTTACATACTTCTTAAGTTATGTTGAAGTTAGTTTTTGCATATATAGGATATTGTTGGTTTGTTTGATCTTTTCTTTTTTAAACAACCTTATTATTATAATAATTATTATTATTATAATTATAATAATTATAATTATTATTATTATTATAATAATAACGTAATATTATTATTGAATATTATATTATTTTGTCTTTTTAATCAATTAATTAATTCTGAACAACCCTGACCAAGCAAATCAACCGACACAGGGAGAAAAATTTATATTACATGTCATTTGGGAGGTTCTATTTATTAATTGTGATATATTATATCACTTTATTGTTGTTATTTATTATTGATTATTATTGATTATTCATTATTGTTCATTATATATATTATTTTTTATTATTAATTTTTTTATCCTGATTTATTATTATTATTATTTTATTATTATATTATTATTATATTACTTAACTGTTGTTTCTTCCTGACTGACCGTCTAAAAAGTTAACCGGAACTGTTGACCTGGCTGCTGTTTTCCGTCGGACCTTTGGACACGAACGCACCAAGCAGGCTGCGCTTCATAAACATCCAGGCATGCAGCAGGAATCCAAGCTCCGCCGACTCACCAGAACTGCAGTACCGAATTCTAGATTACCGTATCTGTTACCGGTTCTGTTACCGGTTCTGTTACCGGAAGTTCAGGTTCAGTACCGGTCGGTTTCTAGGTTTACCGGTCGGTTCTGTCGGTTCTGTTCGTGTCAACATGAAGTTTCGAGGGAAGATCATCGACATCGCGTGTCTGAACCATTTTACACGTACGTTACGTTACGTTACGTTACGTTACGTTACGTTACGCTGTTACCCTCTTAAACCAAACTTCAGCTGGAAAAGTGAAATTTGTGACCGGAAACACAAACAGACTTAATTCAGAATGTGGAAGTTTATAATTTCTGTAAGTTTCATGAACTGTTGGAGTCGGTCTTTAATTCGGCGACCTGAAAGAGTTTGTAATTTAAATAAATTAAATGTGTTTCCATCAAAATGAACAAACTGTAGTGAACTGATTGATGGGCTCTTTGTATACAGAAGGGTTGTCACTAACGACTGTTTCATTCTCTAAAGGGAGCCAATAATTACCTGTTTCTAATGAGATATGGACTTTATGACACCCAGTCAAAATATAATACAGTTTCTCATTAGAAAGACTTACAGAATCACATTTATTGTGACATGAATTTCCCTTTAACTTCACCAGACTTCACTAATTAACTGAAATATTCCCATCAGCTGTGAGCAAAGTTAGAATAATACGTTCAACACAAACAGGAATTAGTCAGTTACAACTAATCTCTGTAATTACATTATTATAATGATGTTTATTTGTGTTTCGGTCGTCTGATCATCATTTTCTCTCGTTTATTAAACCGTTACTGAACCTCTCGTGTGAAGAACTGATGAACATTTGACTCCTGTTCATTCTCTCTCACCAGGAGTCGTCACCACCATCTCCAAGCTGACGAAGATGTGCGTCCTGCGTCTGACCCCGGACAACCTGTTCTTCGTCCTGTCGGGTAAAGTGGCCAACGGGGGGGTCAGCATGTGGTGTGAACTGTCACAGGTAAGAGTTCGGCTCCACCTTCCACCTGTCGGGACATAAAACAGGGTTTCTACGTCTGTTTATGGACAGAATCCGCCGTACGTACGACTATAAATCTGAACCCTTGTATAGATATTAGATACTAAAACATAACCGAGCTTCTGTAGAATAACTTATTGATCATTATTTGTTAGCACAGGTGACTGTTTATAGCACATACACTCAATCTACTATCAGTTATTGCAAAGAAAACAGCAAATATTCACATTTTAGAAGCTGAAATCTGTAAATATTCTGATATTCTCTTCAGTGTTTCAGCTCCAGCAGGTAAAACTGAAGCCTCCTCGCGCGGCTCCTTTCTTATTCTTCCTCCCTGCAGGCCAACTTCTTCGACGAGTACCAGATGGAGGGCGTGTCCTCTGAGGACAATGAGATCTGTCTGGAGGTGACTCCGGAGAACCTGTCCAGAGCCCTGAAGACGGTCCAGAGCGCCAAGTCCGTCAAACTCAAACTGACCAAGAAGCACTGCCCCTGCCTCACCATCGCCGCCGAGCTGGTGAGACCGGAAAACAATACGCACGCCGTCTCGCCGAAGACTGAACTGACCATATATGTTATTTTATTGTGTTCCTCTCTCTCTCCGTCCCGTCCAGCCCACCATGTCCAGCATTAACCGAGTCGTGACTCACGACGTCCCGGTTGACGTCATCCCCCGGAGACTCTGGCACGAGTTCAAAGAACCGAACATGCCCGACTTCGACGTAAGTGACACACTTTCACCCAACCAGTGGAGACACTTTCAGAGGCTCCTGTGAATCCTCCTCGGCTCTGAAGAGTGCAGAGTAAATGTCGTCTGTCCTCACAGGTCAGCATCTACCTGCCTCCCCTGAAGACGATAAAGAACGTCGTGGACAGAATGAAGAACCTCTCCAACTTCCTGGTAGGATCACGTTCCTCCTCACTGACATTAAGTCTGTTATTAAACTTGGATGTATTGGCCACCGTAGCTGTAATCGGTGAATGTTCCGTCTTAAAAACATTAAGGGAAGCTGATGTAAAGTTTGAGTTTGTGTGTGTGTGTGTCAGGTAATGGAGGCCAACCTGAACGGAGAGATGAACCTGAAGATCGAGACCGATCTGGTTTCCGTCACCACTCACTTCAAAGACCTGGGGAATCCTCCGTGGGGTAAAAACAACCTCACTGTCTGCTTTTAAACACGTTAGTTATCAGCAAACGCTAAAATGTCAATCATCTCCGTCCGTCCCTCCAGGCGACGACGCCTCCCAGGACGGCGGTCCGTCTCAGAGCAGGGACCCGGAGGCCATGGCCCAGGCCCGGGTGGACATCAGGAAGCTGCAGCAGTTCCTCGTGGGCCAGCAGGTCAACCCCAGCAAGGCCATGTGCAGTAAGTCTGTGCGCAGCTGGAAACGGTCGAACGCACAATGTCACTGACTGAGTTACGTCAGCGCTGTCTGTCCTCCCTCAGATATCGTCCACGAGAGGGTCGTCCACCTGATTCTGCTGCACGAAGACGTGTCGCTGCAGTACTTCATCCCCGCTGTGGCGTAGACGCTCCGCAGGCTGCACGACT